AACTTTAATGTGAATTTCATGAAGTGATCAAACTATGTCACAATTGGTAATACTGTGCATGGGATATCTTAGTGACAGCGTAATACACAAAAAGCACATGGTATTTGGAATGTAAGAATGCTTAATTATAAAGATGGCTACATCACTGGTATAGTACATCCAACAGTGTTCTCCACCAATCAAAATGCAACAAAGTGAATTAATTTGCATATTATTAGCATAACATTGATCACATGATTTGCAAATTACATCCATATACCATATTTTTTCTATTAGTGGCACATGTAAATGCTAGGGACTATGTTCGTAATAAGTCATATTTGAAAGATCCAGTATTACAATAAATACAATGGTTCATGTGCTACAAATAGAGCAAATACGGTATTAGTTTAATATGAAATCTGAAATGATATGGAATGTCAGCTTTAATATGTTGGATTTATGATCGCTGGTTTATTAGTAAAAAGTCAAAATAAGCATGACGAAAGAAGCACATAGTCGATGTAAAGCAGGACTGAATTTGGAACAATTTTAAAGCGGGTGATCGCTGAAAACAGGGCTACATTGCCGTGTTAAAAACCCTGTGGAGAACACTGTAATGTTTACCTGGACGTGGTTAGGGTCAGTGACATCGGCGGGTAAAGTAAAAGCACCAACCACTATACTCTCTCGCGTTGTCGTAGGTGTACTTGATGACGTAGTTGTCTGTGTCCTATTTGCTGATGCTCTAGTTGCTGACGGCGGTGGCCGCTGAACTAAGTGTATCACTTTCCCGTCTACATTGTACTCAGATAGTTTCTTCTCATCCACCAAGACTCGTCCCTGGTAAATCAACCTTTGTAAGTTTGCTGGGATATCCTGAAAGGAACAAAGAATTCTGTTATTTATCTCACCTAGACCAACAACTCAAAAACTTCCATGTAAAAAATGTACTATACTATATTTAGGATAATTTTCTTTTTTACGACAGAACATCTGTTAAGACAAGCAGCCTGTCGGCTGAGATAGCTCCGCTGTTAGCAATGCACATTGCAATTAAAGAACAGAAGATATCGTTAGAAAATGAACAATATGTATAGTATCAAAGCAACAGGACTTGCTGTTTTCAACAAGAATTCAAAAATATCACTTTTCACCAAAAATAATCATCAAAATTAGATAATTGAAGATATCACCACAAAATTAACAAATCTGAAAGAGGTCCACATGTAGTACCTATATATGTAATATAAAAGAAATCAGACTTGCGGTTTTCAACAAGAAGTCAAAAATATAACTTTTTACCAAAAATTTAAAAAATATTCATTAAAATTAAAGAATTAAAGATTTCATCATGAAATGAACAAACCTGAAGAGAGGACCACATGTAGTACCTATATATGTAATATCAA